GATACACCAACTTATGATTCTTTGCAACTGTAGTCAAAATCAAATTAATATCCTACTACGACAAATGTCTCAAGAATGATCTGAAATTAATCTAGGTGTCCAGTTGGATAAAAATTTAGTACCGTTTCCTCGCTGGCTTTTCTTAACTTCTGAACCTCCCATCACACAAGTTTCCTCAGTACCTCTAGTGGGTACACATTGTCATTTTGATCTGACTGTTCTGTTTTAAATATGTTCTTACAGTAAACTACAAATTACTTCTCAAGAGAGCAGTCTGCCTTCCTGTATCTACTTTACAGAACTAACTAACCATGCTTACTGACAATATCTCAGGAAGTTCAAGAAGGATATGATCGTGTTCAGAGCTATTATTTTAACAACTCATGCAAAAACATGGGTTATTTTGGTTCAGGCAGAACTGCCTCATCAACCCAACTCAGCAGGCATGGCTACAATTAGAATTCTGAGGGAGATTTATTGCCGACAGAATCGGGGCCTGATATATTCAATACATCTCATCTTAGGGTTATTCAAATTAGAAAGATTATAAGATTCTACAAAGCACCTGTAGCTTGAGGAATAAATGCCATAAAACTGTATCTATTGGAAACACTTAATCCCTGAAGACGCTTCTAAGGAATGGACACGTACGTACCTAGCAGTAGCCTCTAAGGCACTCCTGCTTGTTATCATCCTGGTAGTATATTTAAATTGATGACCAGTGCTAGTAAGAGGTTCCAAGCTTTAATTTCAGTCAGCAGGACCTGGGGGATTGAAGTTAATATTGTCTGGATTGCTGAGAAAATTGCTTTGGGGGAAGGGCGTAGAGCACCACACTCTGCGGCAGCAGCGGCAGAGACTGACTGGGCTCATAAACACCTATAGATACATGTGGGCTGTTATTCTCACATCAAAGTGAAATACTTCTGTGCTTACCTATAGGAATGATTTGGTCATTGTTTTTTGCTTGTATCAAAAGAGCTATTTGTACTGTTCCTCTGGAATCCAGCTCAGAACAACAGTCTGCCCACGTGGCATTTTGGAAAGGGAGTTTATATACGGGATTTGGATAAATGAAGATGCAGACACTTTACAAAAAGACAGAATCAATCATTTCACAAAAAGAGCATGATACCCATTTCAGTTCCTAAAGCATCCAACTTGAAAATGATCTGATATTAAAATATCAATGAAAATGTTGTGCTATTACTGAAATACATGCATTTTACTATGTGGGTTTTTTTCCTTGAAATTGCTAGTTTAGCTATTATTCGAAGTGTAAGATTAAATCTACTGCCTTCTCATTAAAATCCCATCTCTGGGTAAGGTTCCTAGCACTACTCATGT